TGTTTTGTAGGCCAGCATTCCTGCAAGAAGCTGAGAACTTTACCATTCTGGTGAAGAACAACATTTGGTACCCCAAGTTCAACTTCAGCAAGTAAATAGTGTGTGGGGCATTGCACTGTCTGGTCTCTTGGACAGTAAAGGGGAGCTGGAGGAGTGGAAGGAGATGCAACAGATCTTCTCCCTCTGTTCCCCTGTAGGCGAAACATCCTCCCCACTATCAACTCCACCTACCTCAAGAACTGCATCTATGACTCCCAGACAGATCCCTTCTGCCCTATCTTTCGTTTAGGGAAAATAGTTGAAGCTGCAGAGCAGAACTTCCAGGAAATGGCTGTGGAGGTATTTGGCAGACCCTTCTGTTGGGCCTCAGCTGTGTAGAAGAGGAGCGGTAGGTGGTTGTCCCCCCCTGCCTCGTGGCATGAGCCACAGGACACAGAGTAGCTGCAGAATGGAGAGCTGCTCTGGCCAGAGGGACTGGAGTCAATTCTACTTAGCAAGTATTTGGCCTTGGCTTGTTTGGGTGGGGTTATGGGCAAGGTCCTTCTGTAGAAGGGGGAAAGAGTGTTTGACTGGGACCGAGACAAGGGCCAGTAAGTCAGGGTCCCGGTCAGCAGAGAGCCTAGTGCTGGGCTGGCTGGGCACTTGGACTGCTCACCTTCTCCTCTTCTCCACTTGGCAGGGTGGAGTCATGGCGCTGCAGATCAACTGGGACTGCAACCTTGACAGAGCTGCTTCCCACTGTGTGCCAAAGTACTCCTTCCGGCGCCTTGACAACAAGGACTCTGCCCACACTGTCTCGCCTGGCTACAACTTCAGGTAATGTGGCTATGGAGGGCACCGGGTGTCCCTGCAGCTCAGTCTGCCACTGGCACAGTGTTACGGGCTGCTTGCACTCCTCTGACAGTGGCGGGTAGTCCTTGGACTTTTGATGGTGCTGTAAAACTTGGAGAATTTCTCTGATGCTGTAAAACATAGAGCAAACCACAGCAGAGGGGGAAGGTCAGTGAAGCTCCACTGATTGCATCAGTGTCTGAGTCATATTTGCGGCAGTATTTGGGTGGCCGTTTGGGCCAGCCTCCCGTGGCATGGCAATGTGAGAACTGACTGTTTCAGGGTGTGCTGATAGGGCAGTATTTGAGAGGGCTGGGGTGTGGGGGTGGGAGACTGAAGCACCTCCTTCACTGTGCATGAGGGAAAACCTGACCTCTGGAAAGTGGCTCTGTCAGTTGAAGACCGTATCAGCACCAGGAGTATCCTTCTGGCATACACCACCACATAAACATTCTGGCCAGTACAGGTAGGTCCAGCACCTCCAGTAAAACCACCAGCACAGAGCCACGTAGCTGGTTGCATCCAGACTCACAGCTGTAATAATATGGATTGGTTTCCTTGCCAAGGTCCTTGCAACAGTCCTGCTCATGAGGAAACATGGCTCAGGGCTATGCCTGTTTCTAGAATCACAAACTCTCACTTAGCACAGGGGATCTCTTTTGGTGGAACTTGAATGAATTCACTGAGAAGCTGCTGTCATGCAGACAGCACAAGTGTGTGTTTGGGAGGTGCCAGGCCTGCAGGTATTGGGGTGTCAGGTGAGACCGGCTGGAGGGTATTGCAGCCCGGCTGGTGCGGGCTCTGAAGTGCTCTTGCTAATTCCAGGCCGTGGTGCAGCCTTTTACCGATCCTTCCTCTTCTCTTCTGCCCTCTTCTCTACTTCCTCCTGGCTTAGTCAACCATGTGGCGGAGTAAGTCTGATCTCACTTATTTGTCCTCATCCCTTTTCCCTATCATTTTGCCTGGGAGTCACATTGTGCGGGACAAGGAGCAGCCTTTGTGTGACAGGCTGAGCTGTGCTGCCTCCCTCGCTGCCTGCTCCCGGCTCTGCCCTCTCGTGGCTGCCTGCACTCCTGCAGCCTCCTGCTTGCCTCTGTCCGAGGGGCTGATTCTCATGTGTCGCTGAATTTCTTCCTGTCTGCCCTTCTGCTCCCCTGCTAAAGCTAACTTCCTCCCCTTCCTATGCTTTGCAAGTTTCCTGATTTGGCTTGTGTTAACTGCTGTCTTAAATTCGCCTGTTCTGGGCTTTTCTCCCATATGTGCTTGCCTGCATGAAATCTCCCTCCATCACTTGGGGCTTGTCTCTGAAAGTACCAATGTTCAGCCCATCCTCTTGGGATGGAGGACACACCTGGATGTTGCATGATCGCATAAGCAACCTCAAAATTTCCAGCTAAGCTCTGACCTATCTTTGCTCCAGGTTTGCGAAATACTACAAGGATAGTAATGGCACTGAATCACGGACGCTTGTCAAAGCTTATGGCATCCGCTTTGATATCATAGTGTTTGGAAAGGTAGGGTGACTTAATTCCTGGAGGTCTTGCAGTGAGGGCTTTCAGAGATGCTGAAAAACATATTCACCTTTGTAACTGTCTTTTAGGCAGGAAAATTTGATGTAATTCCTACAATGATTAACATCGGCTCTGGCTTAGCGCTCTTTGGCGTGGTAAGTGACACTCTGCACTTAGACTCAATTCTGGATTAGTGCCTCAGTTCTGAGGCTCATTGTCTTAAACTCTTTCAATCTCTACTAGGCAACAGTGCTGTGTGACATTGTTGTTCTGTATTGCATGAAGAAGAAATACTACTATCGGGAGAAGAAATACAAGTATGTGGAGGATTATGAACTGGTAAGCATCAGTGAAGACAGAGTGAAGGCAAAGTTGCTTCCTCCTCTGTCTCTGCAGCGATTCTGAAACAGGATTTAGAAAATCCACATCAAACAGAGATTTTGAACCACAGCTCTGAGAAAAATTTGTCTTCCTCGGAGAAGCTCATTTTTACCTCAAAGCTGTTGCAGGGAGGAGCACTAGAAACAAATATTGTCATGTTTCCTGGGCAACCACTCTTGGAGAGGGAAATGTATGTTCAAGAACTTGTCATGCCACCACTGCGCCTCTCTTTTTGGGTTGCAGTCCTTGGCAGTTGCCTTCTGAGAGCTGCAGACAACAGCTCTGTCCTCATCAAATCCTTCCTTCTTGGCTTTTGGGGATTCCTGCTGCTATGAACAAACCCACTCAATGGGTTGGTATTTTCTGAGACCAGTATGCTGACAGCCACGGCTATGCCTCCCTTCAGGTTCCAAGTGATCTGTTTGGCCAGTAGAAGGATTTAGTGGGGTTGCTTGACTGGTGCTGAGGGTAGAGCTCAGCCCTGTGCTTGGTGGGAACTGTTGTTGCAGAGGGTGGATTTCTGAATCAAAAGACCTTGTGGCACTGGAAATGTAAAGTCTGAGTAGCAGAGAGTAGCTTGCCTGTGCAGAGGGTTTTATGTGAGAGGAAGGGGGAGAAAGAAGAGTTTTCTGGCAGAGAACTGTAATCTCTGATCCTTGCAGGGAGTCAGTGAGACATAAGGAACAAACTCCTGACCTCCTGCTGCTACAGCACCAACTGCTGCTGTGAACTGCTGCTGTGACTCTTACTCTGACCCTGCCAAGAGACCCACCCCCTCTTCGTTGGAAGGAAGAGGGGCACGAAACTGAGAAAGGGACCTTCTTTACTACTCTTCACTACTCCTGCTGGCTGGAGCCAACCCCAGAGAGAAGAATTGGGTCTGCTCCTTGTCTGCTGTCTTTCCAGGTTGATTGCACTAAGCACAGAGGGAGGATTATGCTTTTATGCCAGGCCTCTGCACTGGGTAAGCCTGGGACAGGGACTGCTCTGGCATTGTCATTCTGACAGTCCTCCTTTCCCTGAGCTCACCGGTAGCAGAGACCACAGGGTAACAGGCACAGTTTCTCCCTTACAGTGAACATGGCCCCTGCCAGGTGTTGCCTAACCTTGGGAGAGCAGCTCTGTGCTGTTGTCAAATCACTTTTCCTTGCCCTGACAGATTGTGATGCTTAGGTGAGCCTGTGCCTACTATTTAATCATGTCTCCAAGCTCCAGTGGCCACAGACTGAGACAAAGCAGTGTCTGGTTCCATTGTGCTATGGTAAATGGCTTACTGGTTACAGAATTTTTTTTCTGTTTTGTCTAATTTTTATGGTACTACTTTAAAATTTACTTTCTTTTTAATAAAATATTTCTCTCAGCCCTCTTGGAATCCTGCAAGCTGGGTTTTGCTTGTTTATTTTTCCCCAGGGCCTGTGAAGGTTAGGGTCAGTGAACTGCCTTCATTTTACACAGATAGCAACTGTTCCTGGAGAGCTATCAAAGCCGGTGCTGCTCTCTGCCTTGCCTCTTGCTTCTCTCAGCAAGAGTGCTGCTGCAACTGCAGCTTCTGCTCCACCTTGGTTCTCCTAACACCATGTCTGTGTCTGTTGCATTAAAACCCTATCCAAGGGAAAAGACTTGAAAGTTGGAGGCCAGGGTGGGTTAGCCTGGCATGGCCTTAGCCAAACGCTAGTACCAACTGGTCAGAAGAACAGATCTATTACTCCCTGGCATACCACCACCCCCCCAACACCCTGTATCTGGGCTGCTGCATTTAATGGGTTTACACAAGTTGATTTAGGTGAATTTGTTGGCTTTTATCTTCACATGGCCTTGAGCATCTCTAGTGATCACACTGGCACACAAGGTAGAGCTCTTCCCTTTCTCTGAACCTTTTCTAGTGTTGCAGAGCCGTGGGACCTATTCCATACCTCCAGCATCCTGGCTGAGGCTTTGCTGCCTTTTTTCCAGCAGCGCGATGGGTTTGCTACAGTATTATCATTTTGTTTTATTCTTTATTTGCCTGCTGCTGAGCACTAAGCTGAGTGTCACAACTCAAACCGGTGCCTTTCCAAGAGTCAGCGCGCTAGTCTGTGCATGTGAATGGCTCAATTTGGATTATGCAGTGGCTAGAGCTACTGTGGTCTTATCCTTGCCCAAGGTCCCCAGTAATGGTAGAACACCAGACTTCACTAACACAGGAGCGTGCTTTCAGGCTCCTCTTCCAAGCAGCAAACTCTCATAGCTTGATAAAGACCAGTCAAATAGGATAATGGTTCCACTTGATCAACTAACTCTGGGTTTGGTTGCATGTCATTTATTTCAACTTGTACAGAGAAGCTTGAACAGCTGTGTGGAAAAACACTTAGTAGTTTGGTGTTTTTTTTTTTTTTCCTCCTTTCTTCTTAGGTAATATAATTTAAAAGAAGTAAATACACAGTATTTAAACTTGATACACCTGATAAAGTTAAATGCATAATAAAGGGGTAGGAATGAAACACAAGCCTCGGTCATTAAACAAAGTATAAAAATCAGCAATAGTCCAGGACCTTAGAAAAGAAACAGATCAATTGCCTGATAGGTAGGAGGGGACCACCAAGAAAAACTGCTCAGGACAAGAGGCCTGGTTTCCCCTTAGCACTTTCCTGTGTGCTTTCAGAGCCAAAAAGGCTTAGTACCCAGCATTAAGCCTACAGTCAGCACTGGGCTTGCTTGAAAGGAAGGGAGTTGGGGAAATCATCTATAGCCCAGTTCCAAGGCACAAGCAAAATGTTTACTTCACTATAAGAAAAAAAAGCTAGCTTTACTACTAAGGAACAGCAGCTAGGGAACTGAGCAGATCCATATATACAGTACAGCTTCTCTAACAGGTCATGCATTTAGATAGATCTTCCTCACACAGCCACGCTTTATGCTTTCAACAGAACTAATCAACAAGAAAAAATCTACATCGAGTTTCTTTCAGAAATGCGCATTTGGCTGCAGCCTTACTGGAGCTGGCACTAAAGGACAATCGTTTTAGAGAGCGCCTTAGGGAAGTGCTGAGCTTTAGGATGCTTACAAACCAAGCATGGGCTAGCCATAAGACACTGATCTATGGTAATATCTGAGGCCCAGTAACTATGTGGCTGGGCATCAAGGAACTGGTACAGCTTATTCTGTTTAGAAGCTGTGTTGCACCTGGCAAGCCTGTTTGGTAAATGTAAACTGTCTCGCTAGGCACCTGACAAATCACAAACCAGAGATACGCAGCACAGAGCATCTCTACAACTCACCTTTAACAAAACACACCACACATTACTATGCACCAGCTATAAATAATCAGATCCCCTTTTTTTTTTTTTTTTTTTTTTTTTTTTTTTGCAGAACAAGTCCATTTACAAGGTTAGAGAACCAAGCTGCCCACTCGCACGCGTTTCCACAATGAAAAGTCCTGTTTAGGAAAGGGGGAGCAGGCAGCTGTAGTAGTGCTGGCACCCACATTACCTGTTTGGTTTTCCCATAGCTGAAGCTGCAGGGCTTTGGCATAGCCTTGGACTAAAACGGGAGGAAAACTGTGCGTGTCTTATGGCTCCAAACTCCATAGTAGTGCTCCTAAACCACGAACCATCGTCACTGGCTTTGGAGAGAGGCCAGCAGCACAATGTTTCGGTAATAAATAGCGATTTAGGGGGAGCATTGCTTCAAGTGATCAAAAGATGTAAGGGACAGTTTGTGTAGGCACCTGCGCGCTTGCTAACGCTACGCCAGCTTTAACAAAGACCCATCCTAACCAGAAATTACCAGACCAGGTCCGACTGCAGCAGGGCCAAGGACCTCAGTGCTCTGCTGCTTGCAGTGCCCAAGATCAAGGAAGACAAGGGGACAGTCACTTCCTAAAGGCAGGGCACTCATGGCCAGGGTTAGCAGGCAGAGATCTTAACATTAACCAAAATACTTGGGTCTCTCCTAGTGCCTTCTTCCTCAGGGCAAAGAATTGTGCCTTAGCAGTCCCTTACACGCTTGGGACATTTGAATCCTCCCCCTCTTTCAGGTACACCATCATTTTAAATGCCTCATTCAAGGTCACACCCCCATATCAGACTGAGAAGAGAAGTCAGACCTTTTCCCCCCAGTCCCACACTCCATACACAAAACAACTGTACTTACCGTGACCCCTTTCCCCAAGCAAACCCTGACTCTTCTCCAGCTCACCCACCGTCTGCTGTTCTCCAGCTTTGTCCGAGCACAGAGAACTTTGGAAAGTGAGTCTGGACGTCAGAATCTCTCCCACCACACTATAGATTTTTTTTTTTTTTTTTCTTACAAGCACCACAAAATAATCAGAGTAATCTGACTGAAGGTGAAAGAGCTTTTCGTAAGAAACAATCCATGAATTAGGTACACACTTAATTTACTAACAAGCCTCTGATCCACAGGCATTCACAAATTACTGGTAACAAACTTGCAAAAAATACATAGCATTGGCCCCAAAATCCAGATTAAGAGTTTGGAAAACAAAAGTTTCTTTGAAAATTACTAGCTAATCTAAGTATTTCATTAAGATCTTAAATTCTAAGCAAGCCCTAAGTCTATACTTAAAAATAGCATGAGTTGTATTATTTTTAATTGTAGTAAACCATGTAATGTACATGGAAGTGAAGGATTTTACCCTGAATTTTATATTTAGTATCTACCTAGATCAAGTAAAAGATTTAGAAACAAACTGTTGTTAGTGCTTCCTCTGCTGTTCAAAAGAAACATTCAGCTAAACACCACCTTTCACTCCTATGTCTGCAGCAAAATTAGTTCAGACTGAACTTAAGCCCTTAAATACCTTTTCCTTTCATACACTGAATACTCAACTTACCAAGTCCTAGTCACACCAAGACCTTAGGAAAGGTGTTAATTACCTTAGGTGGTAATTAACCTCACTTTCTGGATGTCCCAAAGATGCTGTTTAATACAACTTGGCTCACAAAGGTAGGCATTCTTTAAAAAGCTGAAAAGGTGGGTTTTTGCTTTGTTCCCATGCAGTTAAAAAGGTGTCAATTAAAAACAAACCAGAACAACAGGAAATAGATGCAACAACATTTCCGGTAGGTCGTGAACTCTCAAAGTGCGCACGTGTAGTTTTACTGTTGTGTATGGCAAAAGCTTCACCCTTCTGTGTGTGCCCACCGACTACACGATGGGCATACAACACCCCTGGGACACTGGCGTTAGTCCCCAGAAATTATTTGGCATTAAAACCAGGTAAAAGCAGTTCCAAATGCATTTTTGTTTGACTGTTGGGTTTTTTTTTTTTTGCAAAGCATTGTTGCTGCTCAACACGATAGCTCACCTCTCTGCTATCAGCCAGCACCTTCCCACTAGAAGTCAGCAGTCCAAGCGATCAGAGATGTTCAATGTTTATGACAAGTAGTCGGATGTCTTATAACATGCTGCTATGTAAGCTCTACATCCAGCATCATACTGAAATAGCGCCATGTCATGCTGTGTTTGGTGCAGGCTCTGTTAATGTCGCTCATCCTCAGCTGCACACTTTAATAACGTACCCCGGACCAAGATGCTCAACAGAACCATGAAGTCGATGTTCATGAAAGAAGTTCCTCCTCTCCCACATTGGGCAAGTCGTTGCATTTCAGATTATCTTCACTGCCTTGTTTCCTGCTTTAAAAGGAAATAAAACAGTTGCTGAGCGACTTGGAAAAAGGCAAAGCAGGCAATGAGACACCAGCATCTGAGACACTGCCCCTTCCCCGCCACGGGACCTTTGGGACGCTAAGCACATGTCGTCTCCCCCCAGCTCCCCTGTAACAGGCTGGAAGTGCCATAAAAAGATGCTTTTCAGCCCATCGGAGGGGCAGGATATGCCACGTCACAAAAATCATCCCACAAAGCGGTTACAGGTCAGACAGAGGGTGTGTTAACATCCGGGTTGCAGCCCCACATGAAAGATTCAAAGCCCAACTTCTCGAATTCTCCTCCTGTGCTTTGCAGCGATTTCCAGAGCACAAGACAAGCTGCAAACGTCCTTTTGGGCCGAGGCGAGGCAATGACACTTACGGCAGCAGGTTCCCAGGGGCAGACAACGACCGCTCCTCCCTCCTGCTCCCCTCAAACGGGTTCCCGAAGGATCGCTTCCGGATCATTGTTTTAACCAAGATCTGCAAGACCAGATTGGAGTTCATCAGGGACGCTTTCCTTTCATTCAAGAGCAACAGGAACATCCAACCCTCATGCCCAAGTAATTAAGAAAACTAGTGAAAACAAGTCAAAGTTCTCTTTAAAACAAAACAAAACAAACAAAACCCCCCAAAAAACCAGAAGGAAGCATGTTTACAAGTCTCCAGCTGCTTAGTACAGGGGCTGTATCCTCGTCTGAAACCCACAGTGCAACAACTGAACACGCAGATGAGAGCCACACTAGGTGTGAGAGGCTGGAAAGGAGAGCAAAGCCAAGTCTGGGAAGATTTTCTCCCCCCAGAAGTAGGTTTTACTGATTACTGCATCCAGTACCTGCAAATTCCCAGTTCCCCGCAATTATCTGGCAGAAGAATTCATTGGAAAGGGAGAGGGGAAGGAAGGAACTGGCACAATTTTGCCTTAACGTTTACCAAAACCAAGCTGAAAAATTGGCTGTTTGTCTAGCTTTGGCTGCAAAACACAAAAGGCACCCAGCGTCAGCTGCAATTGGAGACTGCTGGGAACAGAGCAAGTGTCAGGGTTCTTCCCAGGCATCCCCCACCTTATTTTACTGGTGGGAGCAGAGAACAACGTGAGCAGCACTGGACCCTGCCTCGGCATGTACATCCTGGTCTGGGAACCCCTGGCTTCATTTGATACTGCTTCTCGTGCCTCTGTGCCTTTTTTATCTGCTTACCACGGTGCACCGAGAGCCCTTACACATCTGAAACGCACATGCCAGCAGGGTCCCGCGGGGGAAAGCATTTTATGTGAGAGTCGAAGCCACGTGAATCTCGTACTCGAGTGTTAACGCCTGCAGTTGGATGCACAAAGATCAGGCTCCGGAGGCTAATTTTGAAGAACAAAAGTAAATGGGAAAATCTGAGATCTGCCTGGAGGCGGTGCGTTATTTAAGAGGCAAGAGTCGCAGTAAAAGCTCATTTGCCCTGAGCCGTGCTGAACACACCTGGATTTTCAATGGGGCTGGGAGCACTGAGCCATCCTCTGCTGCATCGCAGCGAGACACCTCCAAATAGGAGAAAGGGGGAAAAACCCCTCATCAATGGTGATCTCTTTAGAGCAAGATCTGCTTTTTCAGCTTGAGCAGCACAAGGCACATTTGCATATTGATGTATCTGCGGTTGAAGAGACTTCTGTGGGATACTGAAGCGGGAGAGAGCTCCAGAAATGGAGCTAGATGTGAGCACAGCCACGATATGGAAAAGAGGCTTCAAAGGGAGACCTGTACTTCAAAAAAAGTCACAGCCTGGGTGTCTACAGGCAGATAACGCCACACCAGGGAACTGCAAATGGTCGCTCGCTGTTTCTCCTAGCATAAGGGCTAGCAGGCACCCAGAGAAATCATTAGATTCAAAACCCAAAAGGATTTCACTTTCCACACAGGGCAGGGTTACACTGTGGTTCTCACCACCACAGTGGGTTGCAGAGAATAAAAATACGAGCTTGAAAAGAGATGAGATGAATTCACCAAGAATAGCTCCAGGCGGGGGCTGGCGCATGCCACGGCCCAGATAAAATCTCCATCCTGGGAAGCTCCCGCAGACCCTACGGCCCGATGGGCAGAGCAGGTCAGGAGCTCCTCGTGCCTGGCCAAAACAGACACTCCCGGCTGCGGGCAGGTCCTGGACCAGATGCTCTTTTGCCCTGAGCAAATACAGCGATATTTAGGCAGCCAGCTCAAGCGTGGCGACTGGCAACCTGCTGACGGGTCCCTTTGGGACTGCTCTGAAATATTCCCCCACACCGTGGGGTACGGCCACCTCCAGTGAGGTGCTGAGACCCCATCTTGCAGCGCTTGTTTCTGAGAGAGGGAAGGTCTTTGCTCTAATCCTGCCCAATGCTTTTGCCCTTCAGCAGCAACCTCCAGCTGCTTGGGACCGCCCCAGGAGGCAGCGTGGACCCCGGTGTGCATCCACAGACCATCGCCTCCCTCGTACTTACCACGGTAGCCAGGCTGGGGATGTGCTTGACCGAATTCTCCACCTCCTCCTCTGTCACCTCGATGAGGGTGCAGTTCTCATCCTCTGTGGGCAGCAGCTCCACTCCGTTCTTGGTGACCCACGGGTGCAACTTCAATTAATAACACAGCCTGTCAGGAATGATTTCCTCTTTTTCTTAACTCAAACAACAGAAGCCTGGCAAACGCATCTCCTTGCCAAAGCTACGGCCCCTACGTGCTCCTGAAATACCAGGGAGCAGGGGAGAGACATGCCATCTCACTGGCAAGCCAGCTCACCCTGGCGCCGCTGGGAACAGCTCAGCCCGGAGCAGAAAATGCCGCGGTGCGGCTCATCCGGAGCCAGCACTGGCCCCATCTACGCAACCGAGCAGTAACCTTGGTGACGTACAGCACTGGGCATCTCAGTGGGTTTTAGGGAAGACGACCTATTTCCACTCTCATCTTACGGATGAGACAGCACCAAGAGGCAGGAGCGATTTATTCCAGACCATACGTATGAGCAGTAGTGATAGGAGGACCCACCAAGCCCTAGTCTTGGACCTGAATTAATCCACGACAGAAGGCAGAAACCCCTTTCTCCTTGCCCACACACCTGGCGTCTTGGGCAGCTGCAGGAGGAGCACAAAATGGTTCAGCAATTCCCCCGCAATCCTTTCCCCCTACCTTAGTCTCCATTTTCTCAGCTTCTCGCCCCTTCCAGGCTCCCGCAGGGGCGGAGGACCAGAAATCTCCTGCGAAAGGCTGTTGCACAGTACTTTCCTGGTAGCAGAGGAAATACTGTACTCAGGGGATTTCCTTTTGCCTGTGACTTCTGTAGGCACCAAAGGTCCCAAAGCTGAGCAGGTCCTGGAGCAGGGGAAGGAGCTGGGACTTACCTGCCCAGGGGCCCTGGGCACGGGGGGAGGACCTAGCCTGGCGTGATCAAACTGACTCCCAAAAAAAGCCGAGCAAGGAGAACCCAACAGAAGTGAAGCCACAGCCAACACCAGGGGGTTGGGTCAGTACCTTGATTTCTGGGACCGAAATCCTAGATTCGGGATTTTTATCCAGCATCCGTGTAATCAAATCCTTCAAGAAGTCTGTAACTTCTGGCCTGGAGAAAGGAGGGGGGAGAGATGAGATGGGGAAGGGGATGGATGCTGCCTCCCTTCTTCACCCCAGTGCCCGCCGCCGTGGGCCTTCCCAGGTAGATTGGGGCTGGACCCCAGCCCTGGCAGGGATGCAGCTCTGGGTACTCGTGCACCCAGGTGCCATGCAGCCCTTCCTCCCCAAACCCTCCAGGGAAGAAAAATATCCCCTTTTTGGGCAATCCAAAGTGTGATCCCGTGTGTACGGGGCTGGGAGAGCCCAACACCAACTCCACCCAGGCTAAAACCCAACAGGCAGCAACTGCAGAGGCTAATCCATTCCCTCAAACACCTCTGCAACTTCAATCGCTCCTTCATCGGCAACTGCACGCCAAGGTGTTGCCTTCACGTTTAATGCAAAGGAAGTTTTCCAGGGCCGAGGGCCAACAGAAGGGCTCAGAGTCTGAGTTTTGCAAAACCACAGCGGAGCAGGGCCAGCCCCACCCTGGCAGCGCCTGAGAAATGGCTCAAACGAGCTTTAAAATGAGGCACCTCTGCAACTTCAATCGCTCCTTCATCGGCAACTGCACGCCAAGGTGTTGCCTTCACGTTTAATGCAAAGGAAGTTTTCCAGGGCCGAGGGCCAACAGAAGGGCTCAGAGTCTGAGTTTTGCAAAACCACAGCGGAGCAGGGCCAGCCCCACCCTGGCAGCGCCTGAGAAATGGCTCAAACGAGCTTTAAAATGAGGGCTGAGGGCTTTTTTTTTTTTTTTTTTTTTTTTTTTTTGTACTTACTGATCCGGGAACTCCAACGTCTGGGTCTTGATTTTATTGTGTAAACTCAGGATCCTTTCATCCATAAAAGGGCACTACCGCGAAGAAAAAGAGCAATGAGAAAAGCAAAAACCTCCGTTAAGAAGTGGCAGCGGAGCAGCCAGTTGAGCATCGGGATCTCGTAGGGTTTGAAGGAGAGCAAGGAGCCAGTTATAGGGAAATACCAGAAGATTTCCTATTATATCAATGTCTTCTTTTAAACGCAATGGAAATAACATTTGACTAAAAATGGCCAAATTACTACAACAGCTCCTTTCCTAAAAAATCTGGCCAGGCACAGAATTTTTTCCCCGGGGAAAAAAAGAAACACGGCCCTTTTGGCTGCACCCATCCCACGGACAGGCAGAGGTTTCCCATTTCCACCCACACAGCCCCGTCTCCCCTCGGCAATACCCGGCTGCTCGAAGAGGGGTGCAGGGTGCTAATCCCACCATGTACCTGGCACACGGGAGGCACACGCCAAACCCCCCCCGCCCCCCCCC